AAAGGTTGAAGTCCCTAACAATGCAGGGATAGAAGTACAGGCACAACACATATACCTGTAGTTGCATGGACAGTTGTCATTAGGCCCTCTAAAATACCAAACTCTTCATGCACTACCTGCAAAGTACAATAATTTCCAAAAAATTGAGGAAAAGAAATCAATAAACTATTAGAATTGTGAAGGCAGTCAAAATCTAATATTAAAAGCTGACACTACACATATTGAAACAGGTGGATGGATTCAAAACTGGTTCGTCCCCATTGTTACGCATAAAGTAGAAGAGCAGATCTTATTTTATTTGATAATTAGTTGAGCTTTGGTTGTAGGGTTAAAATACCCTTTAGGGTTAAGTTTAGGGTTATGGCTCTGTTTAAGTAGACATCGAGTTATCAGTCAGGGTCAGTGTTATTAATAGCAGATGACGGTAAATGGCGGCAGGCCAAAATCCCAGCATAGCGGCCGCCAATGGCGTCCTATACCGCAGCCATAACCGCCATACTTCACATCTTTAAGCTTCTGCTAGAAGTATTGTTTTAAATAATAATATCAGTTATCTATTATTCTCATTTGCTTTCACCCTTAAATCTATTAATTATAAACAATATAGTCAAAAATAACAAATAAAATTCATGTATCAGTAGAACCTTGGCCAATGGAGCAAGGCAATTGGTTGTACAGCTAGCATTGGAAACAACATCCATGCTGGGTTTGTAAGTGTTCTCGTTCACGCCAACTACAAACATAGGTGCATCGGCCGATGGAGCTGAAATTACGACCTTTTTAGCACCACCCTGCACAATAACCTCAACTGGAAGCTCCTCATATGAATTTATTAAATATCATAGTTTACTTTACAAACTAAACACTGCTTCTAACCTTTTTGTGTGATGATGCTTTCTCAACAGTTGTAAAGACCCCAGAAGACTCAACAACGTAATCAGCCCCATAATCACCCCAAGGGATCTCTGCTGGGTTCCTGAATTTTGGAAGATTTGGAACTTAAGATAATCATAAAAGAGGCCATACCTTTATATGCAAGTAGCATGCTAGTCAATTCTAGTTGAACCACTAATCAATTCAAGATTGTGGCAATACCTTTTGCTGCTAACTTTAATCTGCTTCCCGTTGATTTCAAGAGTGGACTCATCAACGACTCGGATGGTTCCCTTGTATGGTCCATGAGTTGAATCATATTTGAACATGTATGACTGAAAGGATTTCCAGACACAAATCAGAATCATGGATATATATGCAAGTAAGTCAGTTCAATTAACCGGGAGGGTTAACCAACCTTTTCGGTCATATGTAATTAAGCAATCATTTAAAAGAAGGCCATAGTATAACATATATATTTGACAAACTGGATTTTTATTGTGAAAGAAAAATATTAGCATTTTGTTTACTTGCTTATCTGACCAAACTTTATGAAAGGAATAGCTGTCTAACCCACAACGTGCATTGTACCAATTATCATATTAGGTAATGAGCTAAGGAGGTTAATTTTCCCATTTAACCAAATATCTTCTCTCAACCCAACTTTTGTCGAGACAACATATGGTAAATGCCAAGCTATATCCTGAGCATGTTATATAAACCAAGCACATGACACCGAGTCTAGTTACATTGTAACACTATAAGCTGCATGGATGAGCTGAACAGTAGAACAGGTAGACTAACCATGTATTTTGCATCAACAAAAGGATCATTTACTGCCACCACATCAATATCATCCCTGAAAGTTGCTATCCTTAAAACCAGTCTCCCAATACGCCCGAAACCTACAGAGTTCAAACCTTGTTATGAATATGTGGCCTTCATAATTTCAGGGAAAACATTAAATGAAAAAAATTGTAATAATATTAAAGCAGAGAAGAACATTCATGGAAATTAAACCCTATAGTTTCAAAAGCACTGAAATTGATGTGATAAAAACTTCATACTATAGATGGTTAAAAGATAAATTTTGAATATCAAAATTTCCTACTTCCAGAAAAAAAAAAAATGTATATATATGTAAATAAAAGGGAAAGAAAAAGTGAAAAACAGTTAAAAGTAACATGAAAATTTTGAAAAATGTAACATGTAATTTAACATACCATTGATGCCAATCTTTGTTTTCCCACTGCTGCCTGATTCTGTCAATAGCAAATGGCACGATGCAGCTTCATCAGACAAGTAAACCAGGCAATAATCTGAAATCCAGGAAAAGACGATGCAAGTTTCAAGGACTTACTGGGAACTGTTGGAGGTGCTTCTGTTGCCGTTGCTTTGATAGGCTGAATACTGCAAACAGAACGCCTCCTATAAAACCGAATTTCTTAAGTTAGAATGAAGAATGCATCAATCAGCACATTTTAAAAAAGGACAAATTTGCAGTCACTCAACTGTAGCAATGATGAATCCAATGGAACCTTATTCCCGAACATGCTTGACTGGGACTTCACAGCATTAGCAATGTGGTAAAGACCACCGCATGATACCTAAGACAGATTGTGCAATCATGCATTACATCACTGTAAGAGAACTGAATTCATATATGCATCAAATATAAATAAAGTAAGACCAAATGAGCACAATCTTGACAAAATCCTTTGCAATGATTAGAAGTGCCTAGCCCTCAGGAAAGAAATGGATTTATATACAGCAATAAATCAGACAAGAAATTCTTAATTAGGTACTATTAATTCATTAGACAAAAATAAAATAGGAAGTAATAGACATTTCCATTATTTTTTACTTTTTGGAAATGTAAAAGAAAATGAAAATTACACAAAACAAAAAGATCAATAGAACGTTGTATTTTCAATTTTCTCATAACAGGTACAACCATCAATAAACCTAATTAGTTTGCATTTCATTTCCTAATACTTCCCCTTTTTAGCATAAACCACAAGCAAACACACACTATTAACTCCTAAAATGTACCAGACCGAACATATACAAGTATTTCAGAGCTAATTCACCAACAGCAGCAATCTAACTAAAATGTCCTTCAACCACAAAAAATAAGAACAGAAACCCAGATTCGCTACACAGCCGGAGATTAAAGTATACATAATAAATGAAAGAAATCGTAACAAATGCAAAAGCAGCTGATCTGAGGTCTACATATGGAGAAAGTTAAAAAAACAAAGCCACCGCACACCTTTGATCGGTCGGACGGCCGGAAAGCGTCGCTATCGAGAACAGGCGACGGTGCAGATCTAACAAACGAAGAAGAAAACGCCATTTCTTGACAGCGCAGCTCTTCTCAGATATGAGACGAAATTCAGGCGGATATATGTAGCAATGAGAAGGAGATGAGGCTTCTTAAACCCTAGAAAGTGAAGAAAGAAAGAGGAGGTTTTGGGCTTTGAGAAGGAGAACCGGCCAAGACTGAAGGCGGAAATTATTATGAAGGTTGGCAGGCAGCTTCGATGGCATATGCAAAAATGTAATAAAATATATTAAAACCGAAAAATCTTTTTCTCGATGCCTCCGTTTGCGATTGCGCAGGTGGGTCGTCGTTTTGTACACCTACCCAGTGGCCACGTCAGACCTTCCTTGTTTCTGTGGGGCCCATCTTCTTCTTTTTCCTGCTTTTCCCCCACTCAATGTTCTTTTTGGTGTTTCAGCGAACTGAGATTTTTATTTCACGGACTTTTTGAGGAATAAAGGGAACGCGAATAAGTATGATACCTATTGGAATATTTGTTTGGTGGATGGTCGAAAATAATTTTATTATGATTATGGTGCGAGGAAGAAATTTTAAAAATAAATTTTATTTTGATATTAAAATTAATTTTATAAAACAATTATTGAAAAACATTAACATGATTTATCATTTGTGATAAGTTTTATATAAGAAAATGAAAAAAAAAAAAATCTGTTGTGAAATGTTTATCTGGGTGCGTTACATAAATTTTAATTTTAAGCGAAAAAAGTCAACTGGTAGAATTGCTACATAAGTAGCATTTATTTTTTTCTAAAATATTTACCTTTATGAATAATAATATTATTTACTTATCTGAGTTTGCATTAATCGAGAAAACACAGTAGAAGGAATTATTCTAACAAATTTAAATACTACTTCAATTAAACGATAATTAAAATTATATTATTTTAATTAAATACATCAAACCAAAAATATGATCTAATTTATAAAAAAAAAAAAATGTCAGTATGTTTACAATAGTATGTAATTGTTTAAAACTCTTGAAGATTAGTATAATTTGATATTTTAGATATATCCTTCCGATGCTATAAAATTATACGAATTAAGAAATCTCAGTCTAATTTTTTTTTTTCCGTATTGTCTATTTTTTATAAAGAATATTTAATAATTTATTAATTTGATTTTGAAAATCCAAAAATTAAAAATCTACATATTTATACAAGTTACATTATCATAAAAAAAAATATGTCAATTTTAAGCATAATAAACAAATTTTGACATCAAACTAATTGAAAATCGACATTTATTCCCACTTATTATAACCTAATCAAGTCTTAAAATATATTATACAATTTTTTTGCATCTCATTTATAGCCTAATAGAGTTTTAAAATGTTCAAAACTTAAAACTATAATTTGCAACCAAAAATTCAAAACTTGTGAAATAATTATATATTAGTTATATTTATCTTTTATAATTTATTAAAAACAAACTAATGTATTATTAAAACAATGATAATATATATATTTTTAGCATTTAATAAACACAACTTAAAAAATGTTCCTAGTAAGAATAATTTTAAATAAATATTCCCACTTACTCTTTTAAGTATACTAGTATGCGACCTGTGCATTTGCATTTTGCACAGATATAAATAAATTATTGTGAGTCTGTATGCATATAATGATTAATTATTTTTCTTTCACTTTTTTGCAGACCAAATTTACTTAAAAGAGTTGGAATATTTTTTTTAAAATTACGTTTATCTAATTGGATGTAATGTTTATTTTGGTACGTCTTTTATTTGTAAATTATTTATTATTTATTTAGAAATTTCAAATATATTTTTTATTTTCAAAAAAAAAAAAAATGTAACAACAATAATAACATCTAATCACATTATACGGTCAACACATTATATGGTCAACTGTCATTAATCAAAAGTTTAAAATAATTTTTGTAATTTTAAAGTGATGAGTATTAATTATTTAATGATTAAATGAAAGATTAAATACATCAAAATGTAACGGTTTTTGGAGGGAAAATTGTTAAATTGTCACATAGGTAAAATTAAATAGGTTTTATTAAATGTTTTGAGCTAGTAATTATATATATATAGATATATTTTTTATTTTTTTAAAAAAAAATTAAATGTAACAACAATAATAACATTTAATCACATTATACGGTCAACACATTATATGATCAACTGTCATTAATCAAAAGTTTAAAATAATTTTTGTAATTTTAAAGTGATGAGTATTAATTATTTAATGATTAAATGAAAGATTAAATACATCAAAATGTAACGGTTTTTGGAGGAAAAATTGTTAAATTGCCACATAGGTAAAATTAAATAAGTTTTATCAAAACATTAAATAGGTTTTATTAAATGTTTTGAGCTAGTAATTATATATATATAGATTCTTACACTTTATATATATAGATTGTGTAAAGTCGCATGAAATTTGTCCATACTAAAGTATTTTGATACAACTTAGTTAATACCAAGTGTACAATAGTACAACAAGTATAAAAATGAAAGATAAAAACGTGTTTTACAAATTTAAACATAATATATATATATATATATATATATGTAATGTATTTTTTTTTTATTTGATTAATAAAACATCTAAATGTAAAAAAATTGAATATACCATAAATCTAAAAAACATAATTTGAAATCAGATTTTTTTTCTTAAAAAAATATGTTTCTACTAGATTACTGGTTCATATTGGAGAGGGAGGGAGAAATGGGGCAAATTTTGTTTCTTTCGTTTCCCAACAAACTTTTATTTATTTATGTAGTTTCAACCGTCTTCGAGTCATATAGGCTCATAGCAAACTAACCTTCATTTTCTTGGTGACATATATTTCAAATTTGAGCAATCGATACATTACCTCAAATGTTTCCTTTTTCTTCGCGAGAGGCCTTCTGGCCAGAGCAGAAATCAAATAGCCCCTCTCTCATTCTCTCATTCATTCATATTCATTCATTTATTCATTCATTCATCCCCCTTAATCTTCAACCTTTGCAGCAGGGAATTCCATCCCATACCCCCCTTCCTGTTTACGCCTTCATCTCCGGGTATGAGTGTGTTTGTGTGTGTGTATTTCTGGTTCGATCAATTTAGCATTTTCCTGATTATCAGTTATATATTTATTGATGGAGGAGGATTTTGTGCAAATTGTATTTTCCCAAATCTATTTATAAACGTGAAGAAGTTTTCACGTTAGAAATGGCTATTCTATGTGTTTTTTCTCACAGATTGATTGGAAGCAGGCTTTGTTGAGTCCTGATCGACAATAAAGTGTTTTTTTCTAAGGTATGAGATCTGACCAAATAAGTGGTTTATGTTTTTTTACCATTTTGTTGAGTTTATCTTATTTATCTCTTTATTAGTTCATTCAATTATTATTTATATTGTGCGACTTTCGGAAGCATACGGCCTTGTAGCTGCTTTGGCGAATGTTCTTAGGTCACACTCAGGAAAGATATGGAGAATGTTCCTTATCTGGTTCTTATAATTGTTTGAAAAATCTAAAGCCCATTAGGGAAAGATAATGTCTTCATAAATTTGTGATCTTTCGTGTATGCCTTGATTCGCTCTCAGGATGATTCAGTGATGGAGATGTACGCATAGGGTGCTACATTTCTATGATCATGAGATTTATTATTTCCCAAAATGACAACATAGAAATAAATAGGTTGGAGAATGCAGTTCGTTCACCAGATGTTTCACTTGAAGAGTTATGGTTGATAGAGAACAATTAGGCGTACCTCATGCACTATATGTTGAATTCTTTTTAGTTCTTAATTTTCAGAAATTTTCCCATGTTTTTCCAAGGGTTAGTCACATAGCAGCTCTTTAGATTTCACGAACTGAGGAAATAACTACAAGTTTATCCACATTCTCTCTCTCTCTCATTAATTTTGAATTTTTTCAGCATCCTTGGTAGAGTTTTTATAACATTCGAAATGAAGTTCTGTTCCCTTTGTGAGGATCCTAATGCGACACTTGTGATGTTAGATTTCATGCAGATAGTGTGTGTTGTTGATGTTAATTAGGATGGCGGGTGTGAGCTTCAAATACTGGAATGACTGTGTGGATCCTAAAGATTTGGAAGCAATGTGGATGGAACCTGACGTTAGAACTGAATGGATAAATGTTGGAGAGACTAAGGGATCGAAGGTCCACCTTTCACGTGATCCCGATGGCCATCCTTATTTAACACAGACGGAGATGAGGGTAAAGTGGGAGCTAATTTCTTGCTCATTTGCTGCCATTTCAATCTAATTCAAATTGCATAGTGCATCCGAAATGTACATTGTTATACATGTAAGTTTCCGAACAAAGAGAAATAACCAAATGAACCATGTAAAATTTCTTATATTTTTTTAGTGAAGAAAACCCAATTCCTTGATATACTATACCACTTTAAAAGTTGTGATCTTGTTACGTGTTAAATAAAACTTAAGATGCACAATCTGAATAAATTTTAATCCAGTTCTATATCTCAAACATCACCTGCCTCCAAAAGTTTTTTCATCTTTTTTTTTTTTTTCATATTTTCTTTTACTTTTTCATGTTAAATCAGGCTTTAACTTACGAAATAAATTTTTGTTAATACAGGCCGTTGCAGGAATCATTGTCCAAAGGCACTTTGTCTCACAGATAGATTCGGTATTATAATCTTCTTAATTGACATCTCTGTGGAAATTTTTATGAATCATGTAGGAGTTCTCAGTTTCTAAGAGTTTTCACTTAGCTTATTGATCCTTGTAGTACATTGAAAACGTTTTTCTTTTTGTGCAGAATTTCTCCAGTTGTTTCACATATTCTTTCTTTTCATTTGTTCTTTCTGTTTAGATTCAACATGCATGGTGTTGAATAAATACCAACCCTTACAAATACAAAGCCTTTTTCAACTCCTACAAATAAGATTGCAAATCCTTTTTGCTAATAAGAGTTGCTCAATATTTTCTGAGTTCCTGATCTTTATTCTGCCTGATGTATTTTTACCCATGTTTCTAATTTCCCGTTTAAACTTCAAATTTTATGCTGGCTTCCAAGAATTCGAGCTGCATGTCATCAAAACTTAATATCTACTCACTTTATATTGTAGTTGTGCACAAAGAATGAGAATATGGTGCCACATTGAATATTTCATTGAAGAAGTATAATATGACAAACAGCCGGAGGCTTCTTTTGTTTAGTTCACTCACTTTCCAATATCCTGCCAACTTTTTCACATTTTCAGCTACTAAATTTTACAGCCACGTATTTGTTTGTCCATGTCCTAGTTAAGGAAAAAAAAGTGTATAAAGTGAAATAATGGGATCTACATTGTTTGAGCAACACACATATTCTTGGAACAGGTTGTTGTCAGTTTATTCTAGCCACCTATAAACAGTGATATAAGATGTCAAATATACCGTCAACACCCAATTTCCAGTTTTAAAACAGTCTTACTTATTTTTGACAGGACATGCTTTGTGCAATTGCTGAGCTTGAAAGTGATAGGCAGCCTCTTGCGACAAGCTATAACAAAAAATATGAAGAGGTCAAGATGGGGATTATGCAGATCTCGCCAAAAATTGCAGAGTGGGTGATAAGGTAACAATAACTTCCGGAATCTCCTTTTCCTGAAGTAATACTACTCCTATAATACGTTCATCCATTACGAAACTTTTATAAAAGAGATTTTTTTGTCTTTCCTGCAGGGAGTTGGATTACAGGGCCTATCACACGCTTGAGGACCCAAGACTTCTGTATAAGCCTTTTCTTAATGTTTATCTTGCAGCAGCCTATCTTAAGTGGCTATCAAACCTTGACCAGAAGTAGGTTGATGAAAATTGGAGTTTCTGTAATCTGAACTTTCTTCTTGAGATATTCTTGTCTTTCCCTATTCCTCCTATGTTCTGTGGTGATGGAACTTATTTGCAAAGAGTATATGTTTTGGGAAAGAAATTCATACTATAAAACATTAATTTGCAGGGAAAGAAGTGAAGAGTTCATGGTTAGGGCTTATAAAGGTGGTACAAAGAAAGCTACTCACAAGTCAACTTTGCCATATTGGAGAAAGTATCTTTCTGTTAAAGAAAGTCTTCCTTCCAGGTACACTTTTTTCCTCTTTGATGAAGATTGACTAATTGCAATTTGCAAGTTTGCATGCTGGAACAGGTTAATGTGAGAACAATGGAACATAACATATAGGTTAGATAGCCACGTGTTTCTTCAAAATTTACTATAGCTCTAGTCTTAAGCTTACATGTACTGATACTAGAAAGAAGCTTGATGATAACCATTATTTGCATCACGAGAATGAGTAAGCGTCTCTGTTCTTTCATTTGTTGGACTATAACCGGTTTAATCGGCATTTTGTATTTGCTTCTGATAGTATCAAGTTTAATAAGCTGGGCGAATGTAATTGGCATCTGTTTTAAGTGCTCTAACTAGCATACCCTGGGCGTTTTCATGGTCAAATGAACACCTCATTAATGATGCAGAAAAGCTTTTGGAGTTGGTCCTTCTCCTATTATTATTACTCCTTCCTTTGATGCTGCAGTTTCACATAGCAAAGGTGTGGTGTGTACTTCACCTTAATTACAACTTACCATTTTATTGTGTTAATATTGTCGAGGATTAATTTTGGGCTATCTGGCACTGCATATCCCCTGGTATTTATAGCTTGTATTTGTTAATCGTGGTTGAAAAATTAATTTTGTGATTTTAATAATAGCTTCATAAAATGCTAGAATTTGCTAACATTAAGATGTCTAATTTCGAATTTGATCACAAATCTTTGGCATGTGAAACTAGCTCAAATTTTTACCTCAGATTATATTAACTGCTTATACATTTTGTCATTTGCTTTCTGTTTGTACAGGACCGGAACCTGTCAATACAACTTGGGACTCAAGGACTTCCCCTGAAGACATGGAAGAAATGTGGAACAATCCTGAGATAAACAAAGAATGGACGAAATCCAGTGAGAGAAAAGGGAAAGTACGATTCTCTCATGATATAGAAAAGCATCCTTACCTTTCTCGGGTGGAACTGAAGGTGAGAATGCCTGTATGGTTTCTTATTTTCATGGAAATGTAATGAATATTACGGAAAATGAAAATTCTGCATAAACTTGAGTTTCAAAATATGGTGTACTGCATTATTTCATTAGACCCTGTTAAGTAGAGCGAAGAACTTCTAACTAGGCGCACAATCTTAAGTACAAGAAGACAATCTTTAATACTGATTCCTGCGTGTTATTCTGTCATCAAATGAATTCATGGGAATTGTAGTGAACAATAACAAGCCGGTTCAACAAGATGGTATTTTAGAAATTTTTTACACGAGTTCAATGATAAGCAAAACTATAACTAAATGTTCCAAGAGCTTTCCCAGTGCATGTGTTTTTGTGTTCAGTCCATGTGCTTCTGTTATGCGTAGGTTAATGTAATAATATTAACTTATGATCTTATTGTCTCATGAGTTTGTCGCCTCTTAATCTGTTAGCCAAACTATGCATTAGTTAGCAGAGATGATGAACTTCTGTTTTAGATACTAAGAACCTTCAATCTAGTTTTTACTTTTTTCTTTCTTTTGCAGGCGGTTGCACAAATCATTTTGGCTAAGCACTTCAGCACTAAACATGTCAAACCTGTCAGTATTTGACCTTTTGTTTACAATTTACTCAGTAGTATGGGGAATGCCTTAAGAGGTGATTTGCACAAATCATCTTGGCTAGGACATTCTATTTCATCCATTTAGTAGTATGGGGAATGCCTCAAGTTATTAATGATGCTTTTTGTCATGAATATGTCGAATTTCTTATGAGCTCTTGACACATCTGTGACATTACGAACCTATTGCCTAATGCTTTTTCACTCACTTAATGGGTAAGAAAAATCATCGTACATACTAAGGTTAATATACTCTGTTTCTTTCTCTCTT